GGTGGGGGGGGGATTCCTCCCAACCCTTGAGCCTGGAAGCCCTGGAACAGGGCCCAAGGGCCTAGACCAGCACAGAAGAGAAAGGGGCAGCATTTCCAAGGCTCTTTTCTCTGGTCACTTTGCTCATAGCTGCAACCTCTATGTGTTTAAGCAGGACCGACCTCTCCAGCTGTTCCCCTGGCTGCTTGCATTTGTGAGACTCACCCAGGGAAGAAATAATGGCCTCCCTCCTGAGCCCCTGCAAGTCTCCCCCACACAGCAGCAGCAGCCATGGGGACTTTTATATATCATAGTTCAGTTGTGTCACTCCCCTACAAGTCCCTTGGTGTTTTTATACTACTTGGGAACAAAACTGTCTTCCACAGCCTACAGAGGGTAGCCTTCAGATTTATTATTGTCCAAACCGAAACAGGTCACTATTAGTATTTACAGTAGGACCATAGGCACGAACTGCAGGAGTTCCCAACAGATGCCATTCCCATCTGAAAGGGGCTATTCAGGGAAGGACTTCCTCCCTCTGCCCTGGCCCTGATCCTGTGTGAGTTACTTCCTTGTGATACCTATCTCTGGTCTCACTTGATCTTTTCTGGATGGCCCCCAAACCTCTTAGCTAACTCCCAACCTGTGGGTTTCTGTTTAAATACCCCCTTAGCCTTGGTGTTTCACTCTCTCACTGGCTCTCTAGCTTTTCTTTTCAACTGTGTCTCCACTGCATCCATAGCACCCAGAATGGTGCCTGGCATATGAGGAGCAATATTGTTCTTCATTGAGGACACAGGCTCTGGTGTCAGGCAGCTTGAGTTCAAATCCCAACTCTGCTTCTCACTAGCTATGTAGCCTCAGGCCTCTGTTTCTTCATCTTTAAGGGAGGATGGTGATGATGGTAACACTTGTGACCTTGACAAGAATTGTGAGCATCAATGAGTTGCTGTGCATGCTGTGATTCAGGCAAATGCGAATGTCATACACTGATGCCCCACCCCAGCAGATGAGAGGAAGGTATAAAAACCCCACTGGAAGATCATCCAGCCAAAGTCTGCTTTGGGGTTGGGTTGGGGACTGTGAAAGCAACAAAGTTGGAGGAGGGGATAGATGGCCAAGAGAAAGATGTTTTGTGCCCCCCCCCAGCACACATACACACCCTCTCCAAGGTCCATCCCCACATCCCTGCTCTGGCCTTGCCTTATGGAACCTGTTCAAAGGCACCTCGTTCTCCTACCTCTGTGTGTTTAACTCACACCAGTTCCCACAGGGAATGCTCAGCCTGGGTAGAAAATGCCACCTCCCTTTTTACACTTTCCTTTATTCTTTTTAAAACTTTTTATTACAGAATAATGCACAAATGAGGAGAGACTAATCTAATAATATTATAATAATAATATAACCTAATAAGCACCCTGGGCCTATGATCATCCTCACTGGGCATATGCTGAGCTTGCTGTATCTTATCTGCCTTATATCCTTCCCCTTGCTGCTTGCACAGAATAGATCATAGCTGAACTCAATGCCCTGCTTCCTCCTCCACCTCCCCAGAGGTGATGCTGGCATTTAGCACTCCCAGGTATTTGTTGGTACTCCCACCACAGACATCTGAGCTCATTTCAAAGTATAGCATTGTTTTGTGTGTCTTCAGAATTTGTATCAATGTGCATATCACTCTTCGGCCTGTGTTTTTCATCCAACATTATGTCCTTGAGATTCATGCAGTGTGGGGCCCTTATTAGTGCTTTTGAGACTACTGCATGGTGTGTTGATCCAGTCTCTCGCTGAATGTTAGGTTTTTCTCATTTTTTTTTCCACAGTTAAAATCAACACAGCAAAAAGACTAGGATTGTTTGTTGAGGTTCAGATCACATCATCTTCCAGGAAATCATCTCTAAATTTCCATGACCTCTGCCCCTTGTTGGCATGTGCTGCTATTTCTCTGTCCCTGTATCTCTGCTGCTCCTCCCACATGGTATAGGAGCCCTAGAGATGTTTATATCTGGCTACAAGAAGGGATTACATGGATGTATGAATATGCAAAACTATCAAGTTGTGTGTTTTAGGATGTATATACCAGCTCAAACTCCTGGCAGAGCTCAATCCTAAGGAGCTGGCAATAATGAACAAACAGGACAGGTTCCAAGCAAAGAAACAGAATATTCCACTCTGCTCTGTATAGACTGGAGGGCAAAGCCAAGGGTAGAGGCTGCTGTGGGAGCAAGAGAGTGGCCTGGAGGCTGTTGAGGAGGGAAAGGGGGCAGGAGGCCCTGACACTCACTGGGCTTGTGAGGGAAGAGGTGCCCTTGAGCAAACATTCTGGGCTGCAACACTTTGTGGGGAATGTGGCCTTCAAGGAGCGAACATGTTTTAGCTGGAGTTATTAGGATAAAGTCTATGGGGATTTGGGCACAGAGGTTGAAGATGAGGGTGCTTGCAGGAGTGTGGGGTATAGTCTCCCAGGAAGTAGCAGGAGAAGGGTGGGCAGATGGGAAAGGAGCAGCACAGCTGAGGTACAGCCGAGGTACAACCAAGAAACAGCCAAGGAATAGTCAAGGGACAGCTACACAAGTGGGAAATCTTCAGATCCACATGAGTGTGCCAGCTGTGACAAGAGCCAGACTGGGGACTGGTGAGGGGCAATGTGTGTCCACAAAGTCCATGGGTATAGAAATGAAAACAGCTATACGGCCACGCTCTGGGGGTCACTAAGCAGCCCACCGTGCCCTCATTCTCACCTCACATGTTCGGTGCTCCCAGCTGCAATGGAGATGTAGCTGGTGAGCAGAAACAACAGCTGTGGGGTAGCAAGAGTGCTAAGGAAAAGTCTGGAATCCCAGAGGAATGCTGACACAGAGAACCATAGACTGCTACCTATCAGCCCCAACATGCTGGCTGGTCATAGTAGATGCAACCTAGGCACTGGGGTGGGTGAAGCAGTCTATTTAGTGAAACCATCCCCGCAAAAAGAACAATATGCTATTGGTCAAGCCAGATGTACTACGAAGAAGGACTAACAACTGGTGTGCTAAATCATGAGGTTCCCCTGAGGACAGATGCAAGGCACACAAAATCATAAAGGGCCCAGATAAGCTATAGATCATTCATTCATGTCTGCCTCACTTTCCCCAAGAGGAACAAGCATGGGGCATATATTCCCCAGAGGTAGGCAGAGGTTACTTAATGGGAACCTCAGACATCGTCTGTCTGGTACTACATACAGCTTCAGGCAGCATAGGGAGCTGCTGCTGGTACCTGGACTGTGTGTGGACACTTGCAGCCCTTGCCCTGGTGAACGGCCACAGGCCTGTCTGCCTTCTTACATGACAGCACACCTACAGGACCGGCCTGTGGAGAAAAAAGCCCTTGACATCCCCACCCACAACAGACACATTTCCCCTGGTCTCAAGCAAGCTGGCACAGGGCTAGATGCCATGAAAAAAATCATAAACTATATAAATGGACCCTGGTCACGAGCAGCCCAAACTTTGGTGTGTATTGGCAAGGGCAGCAGTCAGAACCACTACCTAAGTCTTGTCTGAAAACTTCAAGAAGATGGCCAACACAGGGATACACTGCTGGAGTGTACCTGATTAGAGCTTCTGTCCCTGGGACATGAAGTGGATGGGTCTGCTCAACCCCAGAGATGCAGGCTGAATGTTTGGTAGCCTTTCCTGTATACCCTGCATGCCATGGACCCCTGCCTCTCCTTAGCACCCAGTTGCAGAGAGCATCTGTTCTCTTCAGGGAAACTCCAAGGGCTACACCTCTTCTCGGTGTCTTCAAGGCTGTATTATCTTGCATTTGGCTTTTGATGTGCATGGCAAGAGCCTCTCAGTGAAGCCCAAGGAGTAGGTCTGTCGTTGAAACCTGCACATACAGGACCTCACCTCACCTCTTGCTACTCTGACGGCCCTGACAGACTGGGTTTTCATTGCCAGCTCTGTGTTTTGACCAGGTCACCAAGCTTCACTGGTTTCTATAGCTATTTTATTTTATTTTATTTTATTTTATTTTATTTTATTTTTGCAGTGATGAGGACTGAAAGCAAGACATGTGATCCACCACTGAATTACACCCCAGGTCCCATCATTGGCCTCTGAATGCCACCACCCAGGGCAGCTTCAGAGGCTCTGACTGAAGTCCACACACTCCATCCAAACCCCATGACTCCATTTCTGCCATCGGGGAGCCAGAACTGGGCCTCTCTTTCATAGCGCTGGCCTGTCTCTGTGGTAGTGAGAACATCTCTGACCCTCAGACTTAGTCCATTGCCTTGTTCTAATACACTGTGATATCGATATTCAATGTATATCAC